GTTTTTATCGACACTGGGATATCTTGTTGGAAAATTAATTGGAAATAATACTAAAAAACTTCAAAAACTAGTTTTACTTGCTTAAAAGTAACTTTTAAGATCCTAAATTAAGAATAATTCAGCTTGTAAGCCTGCTCACTTGCATTATTCGCACGAATTAGGACAAACAATCAAAAATTTCAAACCGTTTTTTCTCGGCACTGGGATAACTTATTGAAAATTTTTAATGTGATTTGAATCACGACTGAAAGGGCGTTAAAATGATAAATCACTCAACCCAGTCTGATGATTATTAATGGTACCTGATTTTGCGTGGAAAACAAAACTAAAAAAAAACTAAAACACCCGAATACAAAGTTCCTCCCCATTTTCAATGGTCGGAACAAAAAAAAGTAATAAGCTTAGTAGCTCGTGATTTATTACAATTTCGAGAGCAAGTGCGTTGTAACCGGTTGCTTGTTCGTCTGCTTATGTTTTGTAGGCTTAGTTGCCATATCAGAGAATTTTCTTGTGCTTTCAGTGCAAGTGTTTTTGATTTACTCATTTTTCTTGGTTTTCCTTATTGTTTTTTTTCCGCTTTAAAACTTTATTCCGCTTGAAAAGTTTGGATTTATGCTTTAGAGGCTTTGTTTTTTTTTGTGATGCTTCGAAGGTTGAAATTTAATTCATTTTTTTTGCAAAACTGAGGCAGTTTAAGGTGCAAAATTTCAAAGTCTTACTTTAATTGCTCAAAATGGTTTTATGGAAACAGTTTCTTATGGCGTTTTCTGTTGTCGGCTCAATGTGCACCTTCCCAATTTTTGTCGGCTTAGTGGTCGCTCGGTAAATAATAAAACTTGATTTAATTCTTGTGGTTGTGTTTTTCTGAAATTATTTCGATTTTGTTATTTCCGTCTAATTAGCTAGCTTGCAATGCTGCGCTTGCTTTGTATCGAAAGTGCTGCGAAGTTCGCTTTGCTTCTGCGTTCAAACTGAGATCAGCAAGGAGCACGTTTGAGCTGTTTTTTTCTGGCTTTCAGAAAAAAGCAAGAAAGAGAAAATTAAATACCGTGACATGTTCTCAACACTTAAATTGAAGAGATGTGAAAAGCATTTTTTAACAGGATAACATTTTAGGAAAAAAACTGGATCTCAATCCTCAGGAACGTGATAAACGTGATCCCATTTCCCACGAATACGAATATCCCAAGTTTTTATGATTATCCCTGAGGATTTCAGTCAATTGACTTATAATTTAGGTCATATTCTTCCCCTTGTAGTTTGTCGATCAAACCATAGATGTTAGGGTCATCGGCGAACAAATTAACATCTGAGGTTGATGCAATACAAAAATATTTATTATATCAACTAGAAGAGCAATTTATTGTTGTACTTTTCGAGTTGAAGTAACTATTTCTTTCGCTAACCAAACAATACCCGATTATCTTCTGATTTTGGATGATGCTTATAGCTTTTAACAAATTTATTTCTGAGAATTTAATTTGTGCCTAATTTTCAAGAGCACAAGTAAAAAATATTTTTCATTCAACAACGGTTTGCCATTCATGTTTTAAGAGCAAAAAATGCCGCAAAAAGGCAAACGCGAAACTTCAAAGAACAATTTCCAGTTAGTTCAATTTTGACGGCCAGAATTATTTCAGAATTTTAATACGTTGTGCGGAAAAGGATTTGATCAACATGTAAATATTTTGCTTGTGTCAAAAATTTGCCGCTAGAAGATGCCATTGTTTGATCTTACATTTGGTTATTAGACCATTCTTAACTTTCAAGATTGTCTCGCCTTTCAAACGGCTCCAGTAGTCCCGACTCAGATTCCTTCTTCAAGTTCGCTCTAGTTTTTATTAAGTTTGTTTACAGACTTAAGTTCACTTTGGTTGAGAAAATAGTGGTTGCCCAACCACAAATCAGGTTATTTATGTCACATTTTTATGATTTATACATTTAAAAAATATTATATACTTTTTGTTTTTGTATGACTTCATTCTAAACAAAAAATTTTGTTAGCACAGTTCTTAATCGTCTATATCCTTCGTTTGTTATCTGCAAGTTTGAGGAGTTTTTGCTGTTGTAGTGTATTTGTCTCATTCATCGACAGCGGGCTTCACATGTCTTAATTTTGCCTAATGGAATCTCTCATTATCGACACTTTGACAAAAGTCTCTTGTCACCACAAGTGGTAATATAGGAGGAGTCCTCCATAATAGTTGAGGTAGTGTCTTTGCAAATGTTTCTTTGATGAATTTTTTTTTCTCGAGTGTCCTTGGATCCATTTCTTTTTGAGGGTTGCAAAAAGTGGCGTGCAAAACAAACAACCGGTGAATGGTGCGAAAGGTTAAAAAGTCAACCAAAACAGCGGTTATAGCTATAACAAGATATTGTATCAAAGCTTGCAACGAATTTTATGTTGCGCTTCAAAACGTTAGAAAATTTTTTGCAGATAAACCTTAATTGCATTGCGACCCTCACATGAGAAAATGTAGAACACTTTTGTGAAGATAATTTGAATGATCAATTGCTGTACTGATTTTAAAAAAGTGATTTCGCATAGCTTTTAACAAATTTATTTCTGAGAATTTAATTTGTGCCTAATTTTCAAGAGCACAAGTAAAAAATATTTTTCATTCAACAACGGTTTGCCATTCATGTTTTAAGAGCAAAAAAATGCCGCAAAAAGGCAAACGCGAAACTTCAAAGAACAATTTCCAGTTAGTTCAATTTTGACGGCCAGAATTATTTCAGAATTTTAATACGTTGTGCGGAAAAGGATTTGATCAACATGTAAATATTTTGCTTGTGTCAAAAATTTGCCGCTAGAAGATGCCATTGTTTGATCTTACATTTGGTTATTAGACCATTCTTAACTTTCAAGATTGTCTCGCCTTTCAAACGGCTCCAGTAGTCCCGACTCAGATTCCTTCTTCAAGTTCGCTCTAGTTTTTATTAAGTTTGTTTACAGACTTAAGTTCACTTTGGTTGAGAAAATAGTGGTTGTCCAACCACAAATCAGGTTATTTATGTCACATTTTTATGATTTATACATTTAAAAAATATTATATACTTTTTGTTTTTGTATGACTTCATTCTAAACAAAAAATTTTGTTAGCACAGTTCTTAATCGTCTATATCCTTCGTTTGTTATCTGCAAGTTTGAGGAGTTTTTGCTGTTGTAGTGTATTTGTCTCATTCATCGACAGCGGGCTTCACATGTCTTAATTTTGCCTAATGGAATCTCTCATTATCGACACTTTGACAAAAGTCTCTTGTCACCACAAGTGGTAATATAGGAGGAGTCCTCCATAATAGTTGAGGTAGTGTCTTTGCAAATGTTTCTTTGATGAATTTTTTTTTCTCGAGTGTCCTTGGATCCATTTCTTTTTGAGGGTTGCAAAAAGTGGCGTGCAAAACAAACAACCGGTGAATGGTGCGAAAGGTTAAAAAGTCAACCAAAACAGCGGTTATAGCTATAACAAGATATTGTATCAAAGCTTGCAACGAATTTTATGTTGCGCTTCAAAACGTTAGAAAAATTTTTGCAGATAAACCTTAATTGCATTGCGACCCTCACATGAGAAAATGTAGAACACTTTTGTGAAGATAATTTGAATGATCAATTGCTGTACTGATTTTAAAAAAGTGATTTCGCAGCGCTGCTCGGAAATACAAAGTGGAACTGAAGGGAGAGGGATATAATCCATTAGGTTCACATGAAATGTATGACTAATGTTTTCTGTAGCAGTTTGTATAGTAGACTTGAGCTCTGTGACATCGCTTGAAGATATCTTCTCTGCTAGGTCTCTCATGCAATTCAAAATATTTTAAATTGCTGGCAGGTTTTAGAAGTTTATAGGCCACCCACTAAACAACTTGCACACCTTTTGGTCTGAAAACAGCTTCGTCTCTCGAGATTTATGAGACGATGCTTCGAACTGATGCAGGATCCAGTCCACTGGAAATAGTGTAAAAGCCAGTATTTAAGGGGATGCGCGGATGCCCCTTCCCCCCTCAGGGATCCGACCCCCGGGCCACCCAAAAGGTCCCCCTCTGGTACTCTGTTGTAAATCACCATTTGTGGCTGACCACGCAGGGCAATAACTTTTATACAATCAGGCAGTAATTTCGACAGTTGATTGTTCCGGCGAAGAAGTCAATGTAGATTTTTTTGGAATCCAATATATAATTAGTGGTTAGAGGCCTGGTTATACTTGAATTGATACTGATGTTGAATTTAGTACGTTGAAAATTATACATTTTCGACGTATAAATTCACACTTTATACATTGCCGTTGAATAATGGGATGGTGTCAGAGCTCCCACAGTGGTTGCAATTTGGGCCTTTAAATGTGAATACTCGAAACTTCATACTTAACGAGATTCGACGATTCTTGTAATTTTATGTTAAATCTTCATACAACTTAGATTTTAAAGTTTCCACAAAATTTGAAATTGTGAACCCCGTAGTACTCTCAGAGGTTGCAAATCTTGCCTCAAAATCTGACTGTTCAAGTCCTTTTAATCCGGTATATGACGTTCTTATGATCTTTTCAAAATTTTTCAAACAAATTACATACAAAATTGAAATTCGCAACTCTGTTGTGTAAAGTGCTGTCAGACTTCTCTCAGGCGTTGGAAACTTTGCCTCGGATATGACTGCTAAAATCTTTTTAATTTCCGAGATATGACGTTTCTTATGATTATGTCAAAAATTTTCAGAAAACTTGATTTATCAAAATTTCACAATCTATCTATCTTTTATGCTTGTATTTGATATTAATAAATGCGGGCTTCACTATCTTTCCAAGTTTAAGCTTTCAACTTATTTTTTGCATGTTTCACTAAAGAAGTTTTCACGTTTAAGCTACATCGTAAAGTAAAATGTATATATTTTTTTCAGTTTTCAAGCTTGAATTCTGTGTTTAATTCAGTCATTTTGAAATTAGCGACCCGATTGTGAGATGCTTTCAGGATTTTCCAGGTAGTTGCGAGTTTGGCCTCCAATAGCCTAATTGTTGTGATAAACTTATTAAATAGAGGCAGTAAATGATCATGACTGATACCCAACCTGACAATATCCCTAATGCTGATGCTGATTCAAACAACATATTGCAAATGCATACTGAAGCTGAAACCAATACCGAAGATATTCCCGCACTAAGGTACCAAGGTATGACGCCCATCCCAAAGTCATGCAGTAAACGGGGATGTGCGGTGCTGAGCCTCATAGAACAGGAGACAACTGCTGATAACAACCTAGTGCAATTAATCCAAACTACCATCAAAACATCAATCAACGAAATTATCCCAATAATGTTTGGAAACCTGAAAAATGAGATGAAAGAGCTGATGAAGACTATGGTCACGGATGCAATGGAAGACATGAAGAAACAAATTCTCTCCGAAGTTAAAGCTCAATTATCTGCGTAAGAAGCACGCTGCTACCTCAAAAGTCTGTCAGAAGCTGAGATGGTGGAAAGCTACACTCGAAGAGAAAGTATCCGGATTATCGGTGTAGCGAGCGATACTGGAACGCAAGAATCCAATGAAGAGACAGCAAACAAAGTGATTAAAATTGCAAATGAAAATGAAATCGGTTCAAGCGTCAACAAGCAAGACATATCTGTTGCTCATCGCCTGCCGGGTCGGGGCACCACAAAGCCAATAATTGTTCGTTTTTGTCGCAGAACAGCTAAAATAGATATATTGAAGAAGAAACGCCAGCTAAATGAGACTGAGGGCATGAAAGAGGTGAAAATATTCGAAGATCTTACCAAGGCGAGACTCGACTTTCTAAAATTGATGAAAACAGATGAGCGCATCGCTTCCGCTTGGTCCAGAGAGGGCAATATATTTTTCCAGTACAGAAATGACAACTATACAAATAAAATTACTGGGCTCTATGAGGGTGGTCACACACTTGGTTACTATTATAATGATGTTATAAATTGCTTCACTGGTGTTTTCAACCAACCGGAGGCCCCCTCCGGAACCTAAATTTTCTGTGCTACATATAAATGTTCGCTCTTTGAAAGGTCATTTTAACGAATTGGAAGCACTAGTATATAGTCTTGAGTCTCCTCCCCCATTCTATGCCTATCAGAAACGTGGCTAACAGAAAATGATGATAATAAATGCTATCTCATTGATGGTTACAATAAGTTTGCAACATGCAACCGTAAAACTCGCGGAGGCGGAGTAATGATACAAATACACAAAGATTTCAAGCTTATAAAACAAATCAGCACAACCCTCGAGGAATGCATTCTAGTGGTTATTGAAAAAGATAACTACCAATTCAAAGTAGCAGTAATCTACAACCCTTCTAGAATTAACAAACTACGGTTCATAGATACATTCGAGAATTTTTTAGAAGAAAACTATTCGCCATCAACTCCTTTTATAATCTGTGGCGACATTAACATTGACATATCAAAGATTAATCAACTATCGAACAATTACATGAACTGTATTTTTGCAAATGGATTCGAACTAGGTGATACAAAAGCAACAAGAGTTACTCAAACATCAAACACTTGTCTAGATCATTTCATTTATCAAAACCCGAATGAAGCCTATCAACACACTTTAGAATACCAAAATTTCTCTGATCATTTTCCTGTCCTCTTGTAATGGACTCCACCTAGTTTAAAAAATGAAAAAACTCAGACTTTTCGTGACCTTAATTTTGTCAAAGATAAAGATAAATCCAATAAGTACATAAACTCATTGCAAATTGAACTGAATGAAAAAGAGTTAGAAATCTGCAATATTGCAGATCCATCAGCAGCATTTAACATTTTTTCTGCGGTTTTTAATAAAGTTACCACAAATTTTGCACCCATGCGGGAAAACACAATTACTGATTTAAAAAAACCGAAATGGTTCAACAACAAATTGAAAAATTTAAGAACCAAAAGAAACAGCACATCGTTCATGGAAATGTCAACCAAATAAATCCAATTTATTGGAAAATTTTAAGAACTTAAGATTTAAGCTAGAAAAAGAAATTAAAGGGGCAAAACGGAAGTTTTACCGTTACAAATTCTCTGCATGTATTGGGGACTCAAGACAAACATATAAATTACTCAATGATTTAAGTGGTAAAAATATATATGATGCAAACGTACCAATACTAGAGTCATGTCAGCAGCACTCTGTAACTCCATCAACTTTTGATGTTGCTGAACGATTTAATGTTTTTTTCTCCGAAATTGGCACTCAACTTAAAAAAGACATGGACTGTCTACCATTACCACCTCTTAAACAAGTGGGACACTCAATGTTTCTTTATCAGGTTACTGAACTTGAAGTAGAACAAATAATTAACAAACTTGATAATAAATCGTCGTCGGGTGATGACAATATTAATAACATTTTAGTTAAATTGTCGGTATCTGCTACCGTTCCGTTAATAAATAAATTGTTAATAAATAAATCCTTCAGCCAAGGCATTTTTCCTGATAAATTAAAAAGAGCAAAAGTCATACCCATGCATAAAAGTGGTTCCAGATTTGATGAGAATAATTACCGACCAATATCGCTTTTAATTGTCTGGAGTAAAATATTTGAAAGAGCCATGTACACTCGTATTTACAATTATCTTGAAAAATTCTCACTTATTTATAGTAGACAATTTGGGTTTCGGTCAAAGCATAGTACAATAGACGCACTCGTTGATTTTACTGAAAAAATGCGGTCATGTGGTAATCAAAATGTTGTTACTTTCTTTTTTGATTTGAAAAAAGCATTTGATACAATTGAACATTCTCTTTTATTACAGAAGTTAGAGTCCTATTGAATCAGAGGAATTACTTATGATTGGTTTGAATCGTATTTAAAGAACAGAAAACAACGTGTAGAAATAAATGGCGTTTCTTCAAACTGGTCTTCTATAAAATGCGGTGTTCCTCAAGGATCAATTTTGGGTCCCTTACTCTTTCTTATATATATAAATGACCTTCCTCATGTTTGCAAATCATCTGAAGTTGTCCTCTTTGCAGACGACACCAATGTCACTGCTTTAGGACAAGTAAATGTTGCAATTGAAAATGACATCTCTTACTTGAACTACTGGCTAAATGCCAATAAATTAGTTATTAATATGGATAAAACAGTACAAATGAATATTAAGACTTCCAATTCAATGACCTTTCAATTAAACAGCTGTGCTATTAAAACTGAACCTGTTTGTAAATACCTAGGGATATATGTAGACTCAAAATTATCCTTCTTTTCGCAAATTGATTATGTAAGAATGCGATTAGCGAAACAGTCAGGCATTATTTCAAAATTACGGTATTTTGCTCCACGTCATCAGCTTTTAGACTACTATCGAACTAACATTAAATCAACTATCCAATACGGTATTCTTGTTTACGGTTGTTGCAGCTACTCTTCTTTAATGCCGATTTACTTCAAAGAAAGATCTTAAAATTGATTTACTTCCGAAATCGTCGCGAACAATCGGATGACATTTTTATTAGAAATCAACTGCTAACCGTACACGAGCTTCATGTGTATGAATTACTAAAATTTGTACTCCGATCAGTAAACAAACTACACAGTGAGGATTTTTTGAATAATGTGTTTGAATTCGAAAATCCCATTAAAGTAACGCGTAGGGCTAATTTAAACCTCCTTAAAGAATCATTTAGAAAAAAACGATTTGAACGGCAATCAATTGCCTATCGGGGGTCTAGGCTTTACAACGTATTGAAAACTAGAGGCTTACTCGAAGATGGGATAGAAAATGCAAAAATTGGAAAAATTACAAGTTTTTATCATAAATTTAAGAATGGATACCTGCTAGGTAACAACGAGCTGGCAACTTTAGTTTTCAGTTTTTAATTTTTGTGTAATTTCAGTACCTTGGTTAAATGCTACAGGACAATCAACTATAGGTTGCGATTTATGTGAAAAAATATGACCCTCCAGAACTTTTTAGTTTAGGAGATATGGTCCTTTTTATGATTTTTTGAATTTTTTCTCAATAATTATTTTCCCGAAAACTTATAAAATTTTCTTCATTTTTTTTTTTTTAATTTTTGTTTGTTTTTTTGAAGCGACGTGTTCCCATGCCGGAGCATCAGCTGAACTGCTATAGGTAGCGCTATGAAGAACAATATGTTTTCAATTAGGTAAAAATCAAAATCACGTATTTTTTTGTTTTTTTTGTTAATTTCTTCATTAAAAAAAAAAACAAAAAAAAAAAAAAAACTTATTTTCTTTCTTTTGTTTGATGTTAATTTCAGTATGTGTGCTATATAAGGGCAACATTTATGTGGACCAATGGTCTCGTTAGTTGTCCATTCCGATGATAAATGCATTGATGAAATTACTTTTGTTTTGCTAATGACTATATTTATCAATCGGAAAAATAAATTCTTTCTTTCTTTCTTATTATGAATCCGATATTTTTTTAGCTTACGAGATACGACTATTTTTGCAACTTTTTCATAGATCAAAAAATCTTAGATAAAAAGCTTCACAAATTTTAAGTTTTTTAATTTCAAAAAAAATTGCCCGTATACTGATTTTATGTTATTTGAACTCAAGGGATCGAGCGCAGAGTTTGACCCGAATTTCCATCCATCCGACATTGGCATTTTCAGTAGAAGAGTATTCTGGTGGCCCGGTTTTGTTTGGTCAGTGACTTCTTTATTGTATTAGCAGATGTAGCCTCTGTCATCCGCCATCTACCGAGTTTTCCGCGATATTTTGAATAACTTATCGTCGATCATCTTTTTATAAAACTAGGTTCTGCCTGAATTTTTTTGTTGCTTAGGGCTCTTTGTTTTAAATTTTACTGATTCTGTAAAGTATACGCCAATGTAAACGACGTATGGCAAGTTTGTTAGCAACTAAGCACTTGATAACATCCAGTTGTCACATAACTTCAAGACAGCTACTGATGCCTTCTTTCCTTGTATAGATTTTAAACGTTTCTTTGATGGAATACCTGAAAATAATAGACGTCATAAGGGACGTCATTTTTGGTATGAAATTGATATGCAAAACATTGTCACCAAAAGGCAA